CTCGTTCGTCGGCCGGTTGTTTGCGCCGGACGCCGTCAGTCCCTCGCAGGTGAACTGTACAAGTCTCTTCCGCTGTCATCGTCACGGGATCGTCCATCTCTGCCCCGGTTGGGAGTCTCCGTCCAAGTCGCTGGCCAGCCATCGTCGCCCGTCTCCGTCCTAGTCGCCGGTGAATCTCTGTTCGCGTGTCCCTTTTCCGGTCTTCTGCGAAGATCTGTCAGAATCCCTGTTGAAGTCGCCGCCCAGATTCGCCACGCCGTCCATCCCTCTCGGTTTCCGATCGTCTACGAAGAGGTTTTCGTCCGTCCAATTGCTGCAGAAGCCTCGCTGTAGCAGCCTGTCCAATTGCCGCAGCCACTGGTCCAATTGCTCTCTCTGCAGCCACTGGTCCAATTGCTCTCTCTGTCCAATGCTCCGATACCATGTACTCCCTCAGTTTGCAAAAAGACTTCCCATTTTGATTTGGGACAAAAATAAGGAAGTGTTAAATTATAGTTGATTTCCAATTTTGTCTCTGATGTGATGAGTAAAAGTAAGATGTAATAAATTATTAGAGAAAAAGTATGATGTGATAGATAGGGTATGAAAAAGTAAGGGTAAAAGTGGTTTTTTAATAGAAAGGGGAAGAGTTTTGTTGGAAGTGGAAAAAATGAAACAGGAAGTGTTTTTGAGAACGGAGGAAGTAAAATTTAGTGAACTGAATGACTTGATAGTTTCATTGATACCGAAGGATATAAATACAAGTTACAAGCCCAACACGATAGGCCCCAAAATATTACAGACTAATATACATTAAATAATATATACTCCCTCCGTCCCATAAAGATGGGCGTTTTGACTAAAGTAGAAATTAAGGGAAGGATAATTTTGTGTTGACTTTCCAAAAATACCCTTGATGTGATGGGTAAAAGTATGATGTGATGTGTAGATTATTAGGAAAAAGATATGATGTGATAGGTAGGGTTTGAAAAAGTAAAGGGTAAAAGTGGTTTTTTAATAGAAATGGGTAAGAGATTGTGGGACGCATATTTTTTAAAGCATGTAAATCTTTTTGGGAGGGAGGGAGTACATAATATACACTGCTAGCATATATAATTGATCGACCAAACATATATTCTTCTTGTGGGAGTGGAAAACGAATATATGACCATTTGCTCTGCAATAATAGCAAATTTACAAAAGCGATTTTGGAGTGGGTATTTCAAAGAGGAAAGAGATAGAGAAGGTTGTTGTTGTGGTGGTGGTTTTGCTTTTTAGGAGAGATTTAAGGGGAGTTTATTTTGGTATTGAATTTTCAATACGAATTAATGATTTGATAGATAGATTACTAGTAAAAAGGTATGATGTGATAGTTAGGGTATGAAAAAGTAAGGGTAAAAGTGACTTTTTAATAGAAATGAGAAGTGTTTTGTAGGACGGATGATAAAAGAAAGGAGAAAGGCTTTATGGGACGGAGGAGTATATTGTTACGGAGTACTTTATTAGGAGAACTAGAAATATTCTTTGTGCATTTGGTCATTAGAATGAAAAGCTAGTTCTCTTAATTTAACTCATTAAACATAAAAAAATATACTTTGAGTTACCCCACATTTTTGGCTAGGTTGTTGTTGTGGTTATATTGTAGTTTATGAGGGGTACTAGAAATATTCTTTGTACGTTTGATGATTAGAATTGAAAGTTATGTTATATTTTAATAATAAAAGCTCGGTTGAATTGGTTCCGTGACTTAATATTAACGCCCCGCTGATCGACCAAGAGGCTGTGATTTTGTATCTCACCACCACCCAAATTTTGAAAAATTAAGATTTCACGTGCAAGATCTAGACCTAAAGGAATTGTGCTTGCACATGAGTTGAGACGACGTGTTAGAATGTAATTAAAATCCTTTCCTAGGCTTACAACCTTAAACTTGAGCTTTTTGATTGAATTAGTTCTTGACACTTTCACTTTCTAATTTAAATAATGTTTATTTAAGTCAGAAAGCATAATGACAAAAAAGGAAAGTTTTTTTAAAATATAATAAAAATAATGCTTATTCAATGTTAAATTTAGACAATGTTTCTCTGTGTTGGTGCTTATTGACTTATTACTGATAAGTACTCTGTAATTTTTAACTTTAAAATTGCTTATAAGTTAAATACAGTGTAACGCCCCGAAAATAGGCCTATCAGAATTAATTAATTGATAATTAATTAATTACTGAGAAAGACCCAAAAATAAGTAAATTCTAAAGTTTGTCAATAATTAATAAAAACTATATCATTATGTAGAGTTTGACTGTCTGATTCCAGCGATTCAATCGGATTTCAATTTGGAGAAAGTTGGACCAAAAAGTGTTCCCGGACTGGGACCAATTTAGTCCCAATCAGGGACTTGCGTCTGGAATCCCTAAGCAATCGCCGTCCGCCCCACTGAGACGCCAAAACAGTGTTGGGAGGTCATCTCCCATGGCTTCTTCCCACTCCTCCTTCCTATATAAACCCTCCAATTTCTCATCATTCTTCACCAATCTTCTTCCAAGAGATAGCTGAGAGTGTAGAGAGTGAAGTAGTGCTGTCAATTTGGTGTAAAGTCGCCGGAGTTGGGAGTATTCGTCGCCGGAAGTTTCGCCGGAAAATTTCCAAAACCTTCATTAAGCTTCGAGGTAAGCCCGTAGATATATCTAATGACTAGAATGTTCATATAGGTTGTTTTTACGTTCATAAATGGTCATTTGGTTGAGTTTTGTGTTTGACATGCTTGAAGAACTAAGAATCACAAACCATGATTTTGAAGTTAAAACTACGAATTAATGATGCCAAAATGATCTATGAACCTTAGAGAACACTTTTATATACTTTAATTGAAGTTTGGTAAGTAAAAGTGACATTTCCGCAAGTTGACTTGAGGTAGAAGATGATGGATAATCGATTATCAACTTGAAAATCGATTATTCATCGTTCTGCAGATTTTTGGAACAGAGCTGAGCAACAGTAGACTGTCAGAATGTGACAATCGACTGTCAGCCCACTCTGAAGTTTGATAATCGATTATCAGAGTGTGATAATCGATTATCAGCTCATTCTGAACATCAGATAGTAGATTATCAGAAGTGACAGTAGACTATCTCCATACAGTATTGAAGAAAATGAAGCTAGTAGTTAATAATTGAATTTCTTATCATATATTAATCAATTATTGTTTAGAAAATATGATTTTTGAACTATGAAATCCTATTTTTGATACCAATTATTTATGAATAATATAAATATGATTTTGTACAATAAAAATGATGTTTTGACATGTAAAACATTATGTGATGCATGACGGTAAGTTCGGGTGTTAACACTCGAAGCTAGGCCGCTAATTGTTGTTGAATATTATGTTGATTGATGATTATGGTAATAATTATTGGTTGATGATTATTAAATCTTGATAATTGTTCTGATTAAAAATGGAAATTATGAATGGTTAAATCATAATGAATATATTGATGCTTGTGAAAATAATATGTATTGTTAAGGGTATCTAGAAGACCTCTAAGATATACCCATATTAATGTTGATTTGAAAGGTATCTAGAAGAACTCTAAGATATACCTATATAAGTTAGGCCTTGCGGGTATGATGCCCGGTGGCTAGGGTTAAAACGTACGTACGGGATCCANTGATTGATGATTATGGTAATAATTATTGGTTGATGATTATTAAATCTTGATAATTGTTCTGATTAAAAATGGAAATTATGAATGATTAAATCATAATGAATATATTGATGCTTGTGAAAATAATATGTATTGTTAAGGGTATCTAGAAGACCTCTAAGATATACCCATATTAATGTTGATTTGAAAGGTATCTAGAAGAACTCTAAGATATACCTATATAAGTTAGGCCTTGCGGGTATGATGCCCGGTGGCTAGGGTTAAAACGTACGTACGGGATCCAAGAACCAAACTTGAGTACCTACTCGTTTGGGGGTACCACCCAACCCAACAGTGAACACTACGCTGTCGGTTTTTGGTTGACCTTAAGTGAAGGTAAGTTTAAGATTTAAAAACTCTCTTTAAAAATATATATATCTTAAACTAGGCCTAGCTTAAGGATTAGGATATCTTGAACTAGAATTAGTTTAAGAATGGAATTGGCCTTAGACTAGGTATGGTTTAAGGATATTGTTAAATATTTAATATTGAATATGAATGTTGAATATTGAGATATTGGAATAAAAATATTAAAAATATCATGAATGAATTATATATTGTGTGCATGATATCAAATGGTTATTTGTGAATTGAGATTCAATTTATGTGGATGTTCGACGCTTTAGATATGCTTACTCAACTTCATCGCTGAGCGTGTAGTATGTTTTATTTGCTTCACGCAGGTAGGCAAAATGAATGATTGGCATGTTCCTGGCAGCAGAAGGGGCGAGACTGTCGTGGTGGAATTTGTGATTTTAAATAAATAATTGTGTTGTTATTAAACATGGTTTAATTTGCTTCCGCATTATTGTTAAACACTCTGCATTTTGCTAAAATTATGTATTAAATAATATTTATGATGAATAAAAGTATTTGAAATGTTTTAAATTTCATGATTACCAAGTTAATACTTTAGTCTGAAAGGGGCTGCAGACCTGGACGGATTAGGGTGTTACAATTTGGTATCAGAGCAAATGGTTTTAAAACCGATCTTCGGATCAAAAGTTTGTTTAAAAAAAAATTATATATATATAATGTATATATTTTCGGCCCAAAAAAAAATAATGTCAATCAAATCCACGACTCTCGCATCCCTCTGCTCCAGGAAGGTAATAAAAATTAAGTATTGAATTTGACTATATTAAATCTTTATAGATGTTAACTGTTAATTCGGAAATGATATCAAGTGTTGATTCAAGTCGCACTTTTGTATTTGGTAAAAGACGAAAGAACAAACGAAATGTCTATGACTCGTTGATACGATACCAATGTGCACATCGCTTTGCGAGAATAATGAAACGAAGGATTTATCTATGCCGTAAGGCGGCATGGGAATGTGATGACCCGGAAGAGACGTTCAGCGTAGATTCTGCAAACAGCGTGTGCGGATCAGGCGCGGGAGACCCAGCTGTAGATTCGTCACGATCCAACCAATTGAACACAAACGTTTAGAAATTTTCTTGTTAATCGTTTCAAATCCATTGATTGTATGGACTGTTGTAATCCTTTGCAATTCCTGTCTTAAACTCAACTATTGAATAAAAGAATCCTAATAAAGGAATTTCTGTTATTGTAGAATGAGTCAAGAGTCTGCCCACGGACAAGGCAACAACAATGAGCACGTCAGTGTTCACACTGAAGCATCTAGTTTCACCCCTCCCATCAAAAATGAACCTGTCAATCAACAAAATGTTGGGAATAACCCAAACGCTGGTGGTCAACCCGACCTTGTGATCCCAACTTTTCTGGCTAATGTGTTACAACAAATAGCCAACGCGCCAATGTTTCAACCACCTCCACCACCGCCACTTCGAGTAATAACCTACAAAACTTTAAGGGATAACGGTGCAGAATTATTCCTTGGGGATCGCATCGGTGAACCCCAAATTGCGTGGGATTGGATCGAGCACACTGCTCGAGTGTTGAAGGACCTCAACGTACCTCTGGACAACTACCCGCGACTGGCTTCTCAACTGCTGCGCAATGAAGCCTATGAGTGGTGGAAGAGAACCGATGAGAGTGCGGGAACCCCTAAGCCGTGGACATGGACACATTTCGATTGGGCATTCAAGCAAGAATACATTCCGAAACGTTTTAGTGAGGAAAAACGTAAGGAATTTGTGGAGCTGGAACAGGGAAACATGACACTCCCTGAATACCGTCAGAAGTTCACCAAACTTGCAAAGTTTGCACCAACCTTGGTGAGTACCCCAGCCGATCACATTAAGGAATTCAGGACGAAACTTCGACATGACCTGAGGTCACGTGTGTCCGTCCTAACCACCGTGGACTTTGCAGAGGCCTACGAGATTATAGCCAGGGCAGATAGTGACCTGAATGCTTGCATAGAGTACCTAAAGGCAAACAATGCTGGCTCAAGCACTCACCGTCCCACTAACTCTGTCTCAAAAGGAAAAAGGCCATTCCAGGAACCTAGTAGTTCACATTTCTCTAAAAAGGGAAAGTCTGCACAAACCCAGTCAATGACATTCGGTAATAGGACTAAGGGGTGGAAAAATCCACAATGCGATAAATGCAGAAGACACCACCCTGGGGAATGTTGGCTTACACAAGGATTATGCCTCGACTGCGGAAAACCTGGACATTTCAAAAAGGAGTGCCCTACAAATCCTGGAGAACCATTTCCATCTGCCCCCGTTGTTAGCCAGTCTACATCAGCACGACCTGCACCAAGTCAACGGTCAACTGCGGGATCTAATCCTGCTAAAAGTCAAAACAAACAGCAAGGACGAGCTCCTGCCCGTACCTACGCAATGAAAGCACGAGCTGAGGAAAACCCTGACGTCATTCAGGGTATGTTTTCCTTATTTGATACTGTCATGCATGTGTTGATAGACCCTGGATCAACGTTGTCTTATATCTGTGTACATATGCCTGAAAAAGCTGACATAATGAAAGAACAATTAGAACAACCTATACTAGTGTCTAATCCGTTAGGACATAGTATGAGGTTAGATCATGTGTATCAAAATTGTCCATTGATTGTTGAAGGGCATCAGTTCTCTGCCAATCTTGTCGAATTACCGTACAAAGAATTTGACATCATCCTCGGAATGGATTGGCTCACCAAACACCAAGCAGTTATCGATTACCGACAACGAACGATTCAACTAAAGTCTGGAGAGGGAAAATCTATAAAGGTGAAAGAGAAGCTAATACCTAAATCCACTGAATTCATCTCGTACATACACGTTAGGCGCCTCATTCGGAAGAAATGTGAAGCTTATCTGTGTAACGTACGTGACACACGAAAAGAAACTCCTGAGTTGAAAGACATACCAACAGTATGTGGTTTTCCTGACGTATTTCCTGATGAACTTCCTGGTATACCATCTTCCAGAGAAGTAGAATTTTCCATCGATCTTGTTCCTGGAACAGGACCGATATCTGCAACTCCCTATCGCATGGCCCCTGCTGAAATGAAAGAGTTGATGGCTCAACTACAAGAACTGCTCGATAAAGGATTCATACGTCCGAGTGTTTCCCCTTGGGGAGCACCTGTTCTGTTTGTCAAAATCTTTCTGCCGAGCTACTCTGAGACGTAGCTAATGGCAGTTAATTTGTTTCAGTGTTAGTTTTTAGCTATAGGAAATGGAGCATAGCTACTGAATAAACTAGTCGAATCTCCTAGATGACATAAGAGATTCTAACTGAATGCCAGTCCTATGGTAGTTTAGGGTCATTTCTTTCTCCTGTAGGGCTTCTGACGCAAGGCTACTCGTTATGGTCATTACGAGTTTACGGTAATGCCCTTTGGTTTGACCAATGCTCCTGCAGTATTCATGGATCTCATGAATAGTATATTCCGACCTTATCTTGATCAATTCGTGGTTGTATTCATCGATGATATTCTTGTCTATTCGAAGAATCGAGAAGATCATGCAAAACATTTGGAGATAGTACTCAATGTACTACGAGAACATAAACTGTATGCCAAACTGTCAAAGTGTGAATTCTGGCTTGATGAAGTTATGTTTTTAGGACATGTGATTTCTAAAGAAGGTGTTAAAGTGGATCCTAGTAAAATATCTGCCATCACCGAATGGAAGGTTCCAAGGAATGTTCGTGAAGTGACAAGCTTTCTAGGATTAGCTGGATACTATCGACGATTTGTTGAAGGCTTTTCCTCGATCGCAACTCCACTTAACAAACTTTTCATAAAGAATGTGAAATTCGTATGGACCAATGCATGTCAGCAAAGCTTTGAGAAACTAAAGAAATGTTTGACAGAAGCACATGTACTGACACAACCGGTACCAGGTGTAGACTACACAATCTTTAGTGACGCATCTCATAATGGCTTGGGATGTGTACTTATGCAAGACAAAAAGGTCGTGGCATACGCATCAAGGCAGTTAAAACCTCACGAGTGTAACTATCCTACTCACGATCTTGAGTTAGCAGCAGTTGTATTTGCTCTGAAGATATGGCGTCATTATCTCTTTGGTGAAACGACATATATTCACACAGATCACAAAAGTCTGAAATACCTGCTAACTCAAAAAGAGTTAAACCTGAGACAAAGAAGATGGTTGGAATTAATCAAAGACTACGACTGTTACATCGACTATCACCCTGGCAAGGCTAACGTAGTTGCTGACGCATTGAGCCGAAAGATGATAGCCGAACTCCGAATTCAGCCTACCCTTGAGAACGAAATTCACGTTGCACAAAAACGCGATGACTACTGTTTGGAAACTTGTGAACTTGTCTCTAAAGGGAAGAGACAAGATTTCACTGTAAAAGATGGAATTTTATTCTACCGGAATCGTTTGGTAGTTCCTAGTGGCGAAGTGAGAGAACGATTAATGCGTGAGTCTCACGAAACCACATATACCATGCATCCTGGTAGTAATAAAATGTTCCAAGATTTAAGAAAGACATACTGGTGGCCCACGATGAAGCGGGAAATTTCTGAATTCACTACGCGATGTTTGACATGTCAACAAGTCAAGGCTGAACACCAAGTGCCAAGTGGATTGTTACATCCACCTACTATTCCTGAATGGAAGTGGGAACGAATTACGATGGACTTCGTGATCGGACTTCCATTATCAACCAAGAAGAATGATGCTGTCTGGGTAATCGTTGACTGATTAACCAAGTCATCTCATTTTATCCCAATTCGACGTGATATGTCTTTGAAGAAATTGGCAGAATTGTACATCCGTGAAATCGTAAGATTACATGGTGTACCTTTGTCTATCATTTCTGATCGTGACCCGCGATTCACATCACAATTCTGGAAGAGTTTGCAGAAGGCTCTAGGTACTAAACTCAACTTTAGTACGGCATTTCATCCTCAAACAGACGGACAATCTGAAAGGACAATTCAAATTCTTGAAGATATGATGAGAGCATGTGTAATTGATTTTGGAAGCAACTGGGAACAATACATACCGCTAATGGAATTCGCTTATAACAACAGTTATCAAGCAAGTATCCAAATGGCCCCGTACGAAGCCTTGTATGGGAGACGTTGTAGAACCCCAATATGCTGGACAGAATTAAGCGAGCAAAGACTTGAAGGACCTGATCTCGTCCGCGAAACTGAAGAAAAGGTTCGTCTAATCAGAGAAAGACTGCAAGTGGCTTCCGATCGTCAAAAATCGTATGCTGACTTGAAACGTCGTGAGATCGAATACAATGTTGATGACAAAGTGTTTCTGAAGGTCTCACCGTGGAAGAAGGTGTTACGGTTCGGTAGGAAGGGAAAACTAAGTCCGAGATATATTGGGCCCTATCGAATCACTAAACGTGTGGGTCCAGTAGCATATCGGTTAGAACTTCCACCAGAACTAAACAAGATCCATGACGTATTCCATGTATCGATGTTGAAAAGATACCGTTCCGATCCATCGCATATCTTGACTGGGGAAATTGTAACTCTTGACGAACAATTGACTTATGAGGAGGAACCTGTACAAATTTTAGCGGGAGAGGTCAAACAATTGAGAAACAAATCCGTACCTTTAGTCAAAGTGCTATGGAGGAATCACTCGACTGAAGAGGCAACATGGGAAACCGAAGAGTCAAAGAGAATGCAATATCCGAATCTCTTCAACCAATGACTCAGGTAATTTCGAGGACGAAATTATTTTAAGGGGGAGAGAAATGTAACGCCCCGAAAATAGGCCTATCAGAATTAATTAATTGATAATTAATTAATTACTGAGAAGGACCCAAAAATAAGTAAATTCTAAAGTTTGTCAATAATTAATAAAAACTATATCATTATGTAGAGTTTGACTGTCTGATTCCAGCGATTCAATCGGATTTCAATTTGGAGAAAGTTGGACCAAAAAGTGTTCCCGGACTGGGACCAATTTAGTCCCAATCAGGGACTTGCGTCTGGAATCCCTAAGCAATCGCCGTCCGCCCCACTGAGACGCCAAAACAGTGTTGGGAGGTCATCTCCCATGGCTTCTTGTTAAGAATGGAATTGGCCTTAGACTAGGTATGGTTTAAGGATATTGTTAAATATTTAATATTGAATATGAATGTTGAATATTGAGATATTGGAATAAAAATATTAAAAATATCATGAATGAATTATATATTGTGTGCATGATATCAAATGGTTATTTGTGAATTGAGATTCAATTTATGTGGATGTTCGATGCTTTAGATATGCTTACTCAGCTTCATCGCTGAGCATGTAGTATGTTTTATTTGCTACACGCAGGTAGGCAGAATGAATGATTGGCATGTTCCTGGCAGCAGAAGGGGCGAGACTGTCGTGGTGGAATTTGTGATTTTAAATAAATAATTGTGTTGTTATTAAACATGGTTTAATTTGCTTCCGCATTATTGTTAAACACTCTGCATTTTGCTACAATTATGTATTAAATAATATTTATGATGAATAAAAGTATTTGAAATGTTTTAAATTTCATGATTACCAAGTTAATACTTTAGTCTGAAAGGGGCTGCAGACCTGGACGGATTAGGGTGTTACATACAGAGTATTCTTTCGTGGAAGTAAAATGATTTAAATGATAGATAAGTCATTTGAGAATATTCGTGAATGGTGATTAATAGTTTTTAAAATTAATAACATGATCAAGAAGAAGTTTCGAAAAAACTAGCTTTAATATAAATATGTAAGACCTACTTATTTTTTTATATCATCAGCTGACTTATAATTTAAGAACTTCTAAACTGTTTTGACCATCTTATAAGCACAGAGAAAAACGACTTAATATTTATATCTGCTTTTTCTAAGTGTTTTGTTTGTGAGTCTATCATTTCTCGAGTATTCTACTATGCAATAAAAATATGGAAAATTTTACATGAATACTTCAAAAAATTTATTTTTTTACGTTAATACTTTGGAATTGATTAATTTATACCACTTATCCCACAAATTACTCAATTTTACAACAATACTACATGCTGCCAACTTAGTTGAATACGTGACATTTTAAATGGTGACTGGATAATTATTATTAAGTATGAGTTGTTCATTAATTACAAAAAAACAAAAATAACTTAAATGTGTTATAATTACCCCTTCCATGTTGATTTGAAATAAAAATGTGTTAAAATTGAAAAATAAATTGTTTATATTTTAATTGACTAAACCATGAATAGTATTTCAGATAAAAAATTAGATAATTTTAAAGTTGATATAGTCCAAAATTTATATTTTAAAGATCTTCCCAACGAATATAAATTTGATTAAATAAAATATGTGCTTCAAAATTCTTTATTTTGTCCTAAAATTATTTTCTTTTATTTTTTATAACTCGTAGTTACCAACACATACTTAATAATTTACAATCATCATTTAACATACCAAGTATTGTGCTTAGTTGGTTGTTCGGAGTATTGGTATAAAATTGAACAATTTTTGGGGGCATCGGTGTAAATTATTCGATTTTGGAGTATTAACGTAAAATCACGCAATTTTTGGTGTATTATATTCCTATGCATTTTTCTTATAAATATTTATATAGTACTAAAACATTATTATTTTTTCTACTCCGTAAATTATATCATACTCCAATCCGTATGTTTTAGTTTCTTGCTAACCAGTATCTAATTAGTTAATTAATCAATTAATTATTACTAATACTAATGTTCCAAATTTTCCTTATGATTATTGCTAGTTTATTTGAACCCTAGTTCATGCTCATCCAGTTTCAATCTTCTCGTGATTTCAATGTTCTTTATCTTTTCTAAAAATAACCAATATAGCGTCTCTATTTATTAATATTCACTAGTCCATTACCGAGACATTATGGTAAATTCAATGCCCAATTGCAATGGGCATTGTCCACGGTCAATGTCCTTGTATCAATGATAAAAGAATAATGCCCTTGACTTTGATTCTTTGAACGTCTGTTGCTTTGGTGAAGAAAAAGAAGACGATGAAGAAGAAAAAAGAGAAAACACTTGTGATGCTCAGATCATGTTACAATTCAATATAATATCTATTGATAATTTTTCTCAACATATTAAAGCTTAGCGAGTCATTAATCACGATAATTGATATTGGCACTCCATATACATGACTGATAGTGGCACTCCACCGTCTACATTCTTACTTTAAGAGCACTGGGTATGGGCGTAACGCCCCGGGGCGTGATGTAGAAAGGTTAATTTCATTGATTGAATATGTGGGAGTACATGTCTATATATATACAAGGGTTCCTAATCCTATACAAGGTAGGAGTCAATAATATGAAACAATATATTCCTAATCCTATACAAGGTAGGAGACAATAATAGGAAACAATATATTTACATTAAATATAGAATATATTTAACATGCTCCCGGCTACGTCGGATGAGGAGGGGGTCTGATACCCAGACTGGACTTAAACTCGAGGAAGAGTAGAGAAGGTAGTCCTTTGGTGAAGATGTCAGCATACTGTGAAGAGGAGGGCACGTGAAGGACTCGGATATGGCCGAGTGCTACTTTGTCTCGCACAAAGTGTATGTCGACTTCAACGTGCTTAGGCGCTGGTGCTGAACTAGGTTCGATGAGAGATAGACGGCGCTGACGTTGTCGCAGAAGACGAGGGTGGCGCGTCGTAGTGGTTGCTGGAGCTCAAGAAGAAGATTTCGGACCCAAGAAGTC